GCAAATAGTCAACATGACAAAGATGGAAATAGTCCAAAAATCCTACTTGCATTATTTAATTTTATTTCAATTTTTTATTCCGTTGCCACCAACCTCATCATAGTCAGAAATATCCTGACCAAGATAGACTTTTAGCTGCATGCATTAATGGAGAAATCTACAAAACAAATGAGTATATAATTCTAAATTATATAGATCCCATTTTTATAAATTTGTTTATTTAAGTATATATATTATTATTATTATCTTTTTTATAGACTATAGTGATGTAAACTTCAATTGTTTGCCGCAAATCAGGTTTGCTTTCTTCGTATTCTTTATAGCTTTGGGGATCATCATGATTCGTTTTGAAGAATATTTCCTAATCTCTGATTTTGATAATATTCGAGCTTTTAAAAAAATTTATTTCGTGCTTATAAGTCGTTCGTAACACGAAATAATTAAGCCCACTAATTGAATGTTTGAAACGGCATAAACACATATAATAAAGATATGAGGAAAAAAATTGTAAAGTCTTCTAAATTAAATATGCGCTAGGGCTCCATATATATAAATATTTATAAATTATAACTCTTCGTATTAAGAATTTATACTTTGCATACATGGCCACATAATCAGAAAAGTTGCCCGACTGTATCGATATATACTTTGATTATTCAGGATTTATATATGATGGGTACATTATTATGAAAATGTGGATTTAAGATATGAATTTGATTGGTTAAGTTCTTTTTACTGAAAACCATTAAAAATTTAAAATTATAAGTCTAAAATTAACTTTTATCTATTCAAACCAGTTACAAAATCTTAGAAAGAAAACTAAAATAAAAGATTCAAATTTCTAACCTCACCTAGAGAGGCACCCAATCATCATCATGCGATATTATATGATACTTCGAGTGTGGATTCATACATTTATATTTAAATATTTTTTTAAAAATATAACATTATTATATATGATTTTGGAAGGGGACCATGGGTTCACGTGAACCCGATGACCCCCCTTCTGTATATGCCCTTGCTTTGATCAAATTCTGTAAGCTATTATGAAAATATTTTCACCCAATGAAACTTGAGGAAGCCTATATGCATACTTTGTTATCAGGTAGATCGATTCTCCGCTTTATAATTTTCTTTTTCATTTTTCATTCCCCTTCTCCGTGTATAATAATAATAATAATAAATAATTAATTTTTAATGGAAGCCTATTATATGTGTATGTGTCTCTTGAAAGGTAATTTAGTTTCTCATGTAGGCATATTTTTTCCGCTTAGTATTTAAAAGTAAATTGTTGTTATGGTATATGACATCGAAGCCCAATGTAAATTAATATAGGTCCCTTCTTTGTTTTTAAAATGAATAACTTAAAGTTTTTAGATAAAATTGACATGACATAATATAATAATCTAACCGTAATTAGTTCCTTTCTCTTCGAGTTTGTGATTATCCTTTTCCTTCCGACTGTTGAAGAAAAAGAAGGTGAAAGAACATTTTATGACAAATTGAAAACTACAGTTTTGTCACTATTAAATTAGGACCACAAACTCAAATTAGGTGTGTTTACTTTAAAAAGAGATGTCACCAAATGATGTTGAGTTAATTTCTTTTACTTAATTTGTTATATTACCTTTAGATTGTTGAAATCAAATCGAAGTAAACAACATAATACATTCCTAATTTTATGAAAGTTGGACATTTCTCCAACAATCAACTTTCAAGCTATCACATCAAAAACTTTCTTACATTACATTATTGAAGACGTATCCAACAAGATATATCTCGAAAATATTTAGCTGAACAGCCAAAAATTAATTAATCAAAAGTATTTCCGTTTAATTTAGAGATAAAAGTAAAAAACACACCACAATTATCCTTTTTTAGTTTCATACCTAAACTATCACTTATTAGTTCGAGAAACACACATTTCTTTTTTAATACACTATCATTATGGTGTGTGTAATACACGATCTCTTTTATTTTAAAAATTTGTCACATCACAATACACATAGACAAAACATTTCACCTTGATAAAAATTAAATAAAATATTAATATTAGTTAAAGTTAAAGATTAAAGTATTATTATTCTACCCCCAAAAAATTATAAAATAAAATATAAAATATTTTTCTTACCTCAGTGTTAGGTAGCAGAAGTTGGATATTTCATTATGATTAATAAGGTAAGGCCTAGCCCCCTTGCTTTTACTTATTTCCATTGATGTTTTTTTATGTTTAAGCCGCTAGAAACTGTTTAGTGGTAAATTTGCTTAAAAAAAAAAAACCCCACTTCATCTCACCGTACTCCCTCCACCCAATTTTTTAGTTTATTTTTAAAAAAATAAAAACCCTCCTCTTCCAAAATTTTTCTCCTTTTGTATTATATATATATATTAAGAAAATTATTTTTTACTTGCCGCAAGACTTTTTTAAAAATTAAATTTTTATTTTTTTTACATTCGGTACGTAAGTAGAATATTTTTTCCTAAAAATATATACACATCTAACACAATGCGAAAAATGTAAAAAAATAAAAATAAATTTGAAGCGGAGGGTTAGATGGGGTGGGGAATTTTAGTTTATTTCAAAATATTTTTTAGGAAGGAGTGGAGAGGGGGTGAGGTCTGAATTTTTTAAAATATTTTATAAAAGTTTTTTTTTTTTTAAAAGGATGGAGGGATTTTCGGTCGGGGGTAGGAGATGGTGGAGTGGGGTGAGAAAAATATTTTAATATTTTTTTTAAAAAATGATTATTTTTTTTATAAAAAATTGTGATCGTAATACTTTAGTCTTTAGTTTTTAATTAATATTAATTGTTTATTTAGTTTTTGACAATGTAGAATATTTTATTCATGTGGAGAGGTTTTTGCAAATAAAAGAGAGTGTATTATTATACACACTACTAAGATGTGTTTCTCAAATTTATAAGTGATAGTTTATGTATGAAACTTACATTCTCAATAATTTAGGTATGAAACTCAAAAAAATAAAATAATTTAAATGTGTATTAATACATAGTAACTAATTAGCCATCTGGAAAGTGTATAGTTAAGAAAAAGTATTAGAGGCTAATTATAGTGCTACACCTACAACTTTAATGTAGATTATAGACCTACCTATTTCAGTCATAATTTTGTATCAACCACCACTACTTCCACAGTCCACACCTTCCGAAAAAATCTTGAAAGTGGCAACATAAAAGATATATAAAAAAATAAACGGAGAAGAAACTACTTAATTTGTTAAGCAATATTTGGAATCTTGTATATTTTTTATTCAACCACTATACTTTACTCTTCTATGATAATAATAATAATAATTACTCTTCTATATATACAAACAAAAAATTGGTCAAGCTTAATATGATTTCAAATAATGTGGTGGGTGAGAAAAATATTTCTGTAATTCAATTAGGACTGAATATAAAAGGAAAAATATACTTCCTGTGGTCCAGTTCAATAGTTCAAATTTCAGTCGGCACATTTATAAATTAACGGAAGCGTTCAAAATCATAATGTTTATGCCAAGTAAAATTTTCCACATTTGTTTAACTTTTGTTGTTTTTAGAAGATGAAATTGAAAGTAAAAAAAATAAGTCTCATGATTCTTTTCAAAATTTTAATAAATAAATGTTTTTACATATATATATATATATATATATATAAAGTAAACTCAAAAAGTATATGAAGGCCGCAACATAAGCTAAGTTGTAGTGCTCAACTAAACACGTGAAGATCCCAATAACCATTAATAAAAAAGATAACAATTATTTCTTGACTCAAATGATGCTCTCTCTCAAGTTTAACACATATTCCAAAACCGATATTTGTGAACCAGCACTTGACAGCAAGAACAAAACTAATGGCCGCGTGGATTTGTAACTGCTCATTTATCTATATTCTCTCCTACTCATTTTAGCTGTCGTGATTATTTAAAATGACTAATTGTCATTTAAAAAAATTAAATCAATTGTCAATTTCGACAATTAGTCAAATTAAAAAATAATTTAGTCAAATTCTTTTGTTATTTGGACAGTTCCTCCGTTGTTTGTACAAGAGAATTAAAGGCAGAAAACTTCATATATGCGGCTAAGAAGATCTTCTCCATCAACAGAAGGCCATAGTATATATTATGTTAATCCCCTCCCCCCCCCCCCCCCGAACATTTATAACAGCAGCATAGCTCTGCCACTCAGTTATATTGATCGATGCATATACGACTAAGTTTATAGTATATTTTTTTATTACAAATAAATAAATAAATATATTTTAAAGGCGTGCAAAAGAAAAACATATATCCACTGTAAATAGACCGGTGGGTGTAGTCATTAACAACAACACTCAAATATACATACATAAATAAAAGTAGTACTAGCACTACTAGAGAAAAAAAAAAAAAAAATTACAAAAGCTTTGCAATTACTTGCAAGCAATCTATTTCATTTTTTCAACTCTTTCTCTATCGTTTCATTTTATCTTTTTTGTCCAAGAATACAGGCGAGTTTAGTGTTATCTCATTGCAACACCCAGAAAACAGAATGGTTTTAGAAACCTCAAAGAAGTACAATAAAAAACACATTTGTCTTCTGACTATTATTTCTACTTTGGACCCACCAACGAGAGTGCTTCTTCTACGTATTGAACAATGTCGTATTTTTCTCCTCAATATTCTACTTATATATTGCCAAATGCCAACAGGATAAAAAGTCGGTCGTCGATGAAATAAAATAATATTGGCAAGTTAAGATACCGGCCAACGTCCAACTTTAGGCATGATAGGACACGTTGTTTTCCCGTTAATTCCGCCTCTACCATGTAATTACTAGTATTATTTTGTGTATTATCGTAATAACATGAGGAATCTACAATAAATGTAATACTATAATGTATCAAAAATAGCATGTTGAAATATCAATATACTCTTACTCAGCATCATGTGATGTAAATAATGAACATACCAAGAAAGATTTATGAGATAATGTAGTAGTTTGAACATTTCAAGAAGATTTGGTGCAGATATCCAATCTTCAAGATGTTAATTACATAAAAATTATGAAAAACCACTGCTCGTCCATCACATGGACAGAGTGCACCCTCTAACATAAAAAAAAAAAGAAGGTAAAGTATTTTAATCATACAAAAAATATTTGGTGAACTCAATATGTGAATATTGAGTAAAAAAATAATCTGGATTCTGGACAAGGGAATGTTCACACTTGCAGGACTATCGTTCTCTTTGACGGTCATTGAACGATAGTCGAAAAACCCACTTGGAGAATGACTTCTTCTTTGAATTAGCGTTAGATTGTTGTTGATTCTGGTGATTAATTGCGTTGGGAGCAGTGGACTCGACAAAATCCTTCATACGTCGCATGGCTAAGTTTAACGTATCTTCGGACATGTTAGCGAAACATGCACGGAACCAACCCGGTTCGGTACAATGGCATGATGATCCAGGAGAGATGTTTAGGCCAACGTCGTACACTATTTTCTTCCATAAGTCCATTTCAGCGTCAAAATTATTGGAACTTAATAGATGCCTCATGTCTACCCAACAAAACAGACCGGCATTGCTTTCAAGGCAGTTGATACCAGCATTTTTAAGACCTTTAACAAGCATTGCATGTCGTTTCTTTAGCCTCTTCTGATTTTCAGAGATGTATTTCTTCGTGAACTTTTTGTCAGAGAGCATGCATGAAAGAAGGTACTGAGTTTGCGAAGAAACTAGTCCGAAACTAGACATTTTTGTGGCCGCGGAGACAACCATCTCATCGTTGGAGTAAATTGCACCAATGCGAAAACCGGGAAGACCGAGATCTTTTGAGAGACTGTAAACAATGTGAACTCGTTCCCAAACTTCGGTTTTCATGTAGTTCTTTTCAAGTAGAACTTCCATGACACTAACGAAGCCTGGCGAGTTAAAAACAGTCCCTGAATAGATCTCGTCACTGATGAGGTAGATGCCTTTTTCGTCTATGAATGTAAGAAGAAGTTCAACCTCGTTTCTGGTTAGTGTTGTGCCCAATGGATTTGAAGGGTTGGTCACTAGAACACCTTTCACTTTAAGGTTGCGCTTTTTTGCATCTAGATAAGCTTCTTCAAGAGCGGATTCAGTAATTCTGAATCCGTTTGAACTTGAGCAGTGTATTGGCACAATCTCTGCCCCAGTTCTCCATTTAAGGTCTCTATCGAATCTGCGCGCATTACATAATGCAATAAGAACATCAGTAAAGAAAAAGAAAAATTCTACAGTCAAATAGTATCACATAAAATAAAATAGATCAGAACGTACCCAGGATAGTATGGGGTAGGAAGGAGGAAAGCATCGCCTTGGTTAGCTAGGCAAAACATAAGTGTCTCATTAGCGGAAGTTGCACCGGCTGTAAGAACGAGCTTGTTGGAATCAAAGCTTACTTTGTTTCCTCTGATTTCTGACATGAATTTTGTCATTGCCTGCATTATAAAATAAACATAACAACGTAAGATAATGATGTCATACATACGTAATATTTAATACATATATTCATTCATAATAGTACATGAGAACATTTAATTAAAAATACGTACATTTTTGAAAGCAGGAAGACCATGATAATCTTGAAACAGAGCAAGTTCTCTAAATATTGATTCTCCATTTCTCTTAAACCCAGCTGCGTCTGGATTTTGTGCTAGCCATGACTCTAATAAATCAAAAGAAACCTGCGTAACGAAAAAAATAAAATTATTATTAGGACGAAGAATGTGAAAGCCGACAATCGGAGATGGGGATTCTTAAAAAGCAGAACAGGAACTGTTCAAGTGTTTTTTTTCTAATTACCTGATTCTCTGCTAGACCCATCTGGATGATTCCTTTAGGATTTTGAATTTCATCGTATGGATTTTTCTCGTACTCCTGCCATCCTAAAAAGTATGAGGAATCTTGTCCATGAGAATTACACGTGGCTTTCTCTGACAATAGCTTCATCTTTTCTGGTGTTATGAATTTCTGGCTTTATGTATATTTTTGGGAAATAAATTTATCTATTGATCGACTGGATTGTGCCAGCAAGAAAGAATTGAATGTAATAAGTAATCGGATCACTTTGAATGTTTTTTTTGTTGTTGAAAAGAAAGTTTTGATTTGGAAAGAATAATCAACTTGGAGATTGTAGTTTATAGATAGAATGAGAGGGAGATGTTGTTGCCATTTGCTGGCATATAGTATAGCTATATATAGGAGTTTTGTCAATCAAAGAAATAACACGTCAGCCAAACTACCCATAATACTCTTTTGACTCTTAAATTCCTTTTTAATTAAACAAATAATAAGTAATTCATGTCTAATTTAACGCGTTGAATTTCAGTGTTTAATGTATAGTAATTTAAGGACAATTAAAGTTCCGTATTACCTAAACGCACTAAAGACACTTACTTGGTATTTCAGCTTAGTACTTATGTCTACACACACTCTCCATCTAAAATTATTTTATTTATCATAATTTAATATCTCCTCCTTAATAAGTAGGTGTAAAAATAAAACTCAATGGAGTAGTTAATTTAAAATGAGAACATTAAATAAGCACGACAATTAAAATGGAGTGGAGGAAGCAATTTAGCATATGATTATTGTGAAATGAATATAGTTGTGGGTGAGTGAGTTAAGAAAGGGAATGCATATAGAAACAAGAAAATCCAAAAGACAACAATGGGTATAAGGAGAAATAAGCCCATCCGAAAATTGGACCGACGATGACCGTGCCATGGTCCATTTGCTCCCTCCTCCTGGCCCATCTCTTACTGTGTGTCGGCCACTTATCTCGCCGTCCCCGGTCTCCCCTCTCAAGTGGGGCTACAAAACCCAAAACCCAATTTTTTAATTCTAAATCCTTTAATTATTATTATTCAACTATAAACTTTTATTCTCTTCTTTTAAATAAAAAACTACTTATTAGTATGATAGCACGTGACATTCAAGAATTAAAGTCAACCTCGACTGGACGTCAAATAGTAGCTGCCTACCGTGAAAAGTAATATTACGCACAGCTGTATGCACTAGTTCAATTTGGCTTTGCACATATCAAGCATTCACACGCTTAATGCGTTTACAACCAAATTCACAATCTTTTTTAAATGGCTCAATTATACTTTACTATTGGATTGATAGAATTCGAATTCAATTTTTTTTACGTTTAGTAAATTATAAAAATCTGGAATTATCGTGGTTTCTAGCCATCCGAAAGTTGATTGTAATAAACTAGTGGAACGGTAGAGTTTATTCTGTTATTTTCCCGGAGCATTAATTTCGAATATGGTATATACGTATAAATAATTCCCCACCAAAATCTTTGTTTTGCTATGGCAATGTAGAATAATTAATGTAAGTAGGGTAACATTTGGGGTGTCAGCCACTAAACCTCAGAATTTTATTACAAGGTAAATAAATGAATTCCGCCACTAGTATTAGCCAACTGTTTGTTTCAAAATTAATGAATTGCGAATATTAGGAAAGGTAATGAGAGAATATTGAAAGAGCTTTGCAAATCATTTTTTACTTAAATTTTGGAGTTTCAACCACCACTAAAGATCAGATATTTATTGCAAATGGTAAACAAATTTATTCCGCTGATTTGCTAACTCAAAAGACTGTCCTAGTAATATTTAGAGTTTGCGTCATAATCACACATGGCCAGGGCAGTTAAAAGGGGTCTTAATTATTTGGTGTAGTAAAAAGAAGTGAAGAGCAAAGGAACTCAGAATTTCTACCTTAATAAATATAGTACGTACTACATCGTAGTAATAAATTTGTTGAGTCGAACATATAGATGTTTAGCAGGGTTGGTATGCTAGCTACCGAAAGGGCGCTCCCAGATTTGGATCTCTTTTTGTCTCCTAATTACAAGTTTGAAAAATCTTAAAAAGTGAAAGACAACTCATGATCCTTGCTGTAGCAATGTCCGATTATTTGCTTTATTGGACCACTAGACTATGGAGAAATAAATTGCTGCTTCCGGTCGATATTTTGACCAAAGTAGAGGGAACACATGTACATACACTAGTCATACAGATTCTATACATGATGCTGTTTTTTTTGACATAAAACAATGTTGGTGATTAATATATAATACGGTTCTCAACCACCTTTTAGGAGTATTATGAAGTTACTTCATGTGAAATTGACGGAATTAATAAAGAAGTCCATCTAATTAAAAAAGATTCAAATTACTCCTTGCCGTGTAAAAGAAGTAAGGTTGTGAATCGTTAATTTTTATTATTATAGGTGTGGAAACGGGTAGAATTTGTAACAAGTCCTCTTAAGTTTGCTCTGATTAAATTATACCTACGGAACCTTAGTGGGCTGCATAAAGTCAACGGCTGTCTTTGACCAATAGAAAATGACTTTCAAGTAATTAATTAGGCAATGAGAAGTTGACATAATTGATGACGCTATTTTACATTATCAAGTAATTACACATAAAATTAAACTTAGATTACCTGGATATGACAAAAATAAATAAATTACTTTGTCAAAGTTAAATCCATAATTGATTTGTCGGGCTGATTACAGATGCCCATATCCAATTTAGTGAGTGTAAATTTGATTTAATAATTGACTTAACTAGACACTTAGAATACAAAAGATGGATACGGTTATAACGTGATTAATTCAGTTCTGCCCAACACTGAGGCCAGACTAATATATGGTAGTCTTGATTGACTGACTTAACATCTGGATAAGCTTAATTAAGGGACAAGAAATGACACCAGCTCTAAAAATGGCGTAGATTTTAATTTGTTTCGTAGGATTGACTGAAATTGTCTCGTCATGTCTCAAATTTTCTCGGCGTTTCTTTTGATTCTGACGAAAGATTTTCATGTTCAATGAGGTAGCTCACATGCATAATGGCAATAAGATTTTATACATATTTTGTGAGTTGGAAATCTTAGTGGTCTGAACCGTAATAGATATATCTTCACTTCTTGTATAGTTGTATATACGTACATATCAAGTATATTTTAAGATTTCAAATACTACTGTTAGAAATTATTTAAGCTATTCAAATGATATTTGTAGGTAAATTTTTTTAAATGGTAGATTGATTTTTTTACATCGACAATCATATAACTTAAACTGATCATATTTTAATGTTGAATATGATTGTCCTAGTGAATATTTGCTAAATGCTTGAAATTCACACGTTTTATAAAATGTTTTTATATGCATGCACCTTCAATATTTAGACTTTTTTTTCACTTTGCTTTATAATTACAAAACCAGCTTCAAATTAACTAGTTTCATTTTACTAGAACTAAAATTTGTTTAATTTGATATGAGATGAATATTTTGGTGAGTGAGGAGCATGAAATGATTGAATGAGGAAACATGTGGTTTGTTACAAAGGAAGGGTGATTAGGGCATGTGAAAACCCTGTTTAATTGCCCCCACATAGACCTTAGAAGCTAGAATATGTACATAAGAATTAGTAAGGGGGTCCATTGACCATAGGAATAAGCCTAAAATGTAACTATCCCATATAGGCTACTATTAGTGACAAGTAACGTGACAAATTAAATCACATTTAGGTCCACCCCTCCCATTCCTCAGCGGACTTCCTAGGAGACACTACCCATACGTGGACCATTTGTTTCCTGTCTTTAGTAACGATAGGGACCCTCACCACCATCCCCCACACCCCCAGGGGGGCCTATTTTCTGTCAAAACTAATATTTGTGACATACCTATTACTATATCTTTATTCCATTTCCATGTATGCGCGCGTTATACACAAAATTGAACTAGTTAAAGTCAACGATTCTTCCAACTAAGTATTACTTACTAATCATTTTTATGAACGATTACATTATCATGGTATAAAAATTAATTTCCAATTTAACATACCAAAAATGTTCGCCTATACTTAGTCAGAGAGTCAACATTTCTTCATGAGTAACACGAATCAAATTGTTTCAAGTAGTTATTATGCGCTGACCTGCTAATTAAGCAGTCGTGCAAGTAATGTGGTTTAATTTCTTCGTTTTCATCAGTTCCACGTCCGATTAAATCATCTTATTAATTATCCATCACACTAACTCTATTTGTTCTTCTACATTTTTCTGATACTTGTGTTAAGAAAGTGTTCGGAAATTGGATTACCATCCATTATATGCAGGGGCGGATCTAGAATATATACTGCATGTGGGTTCTTGGGAATTCGATAACTTTTGTAAATAACAAAGTAGCCACCTGGTAGGGGTGTACATGACCGGGTTGATTCAGGTTTTTCAAATATCAAACCAAACCATTTGTGTCAGATTTTTAAATCTATAAACCAAACCAAACCAAAAAAAACTCGAGTTTTTCAACCTCGGGTTTTTTAGGATTTTTTTCGGGTTTTTCCAGTAAAGTATTCATACAAATATATAATTTACTTGTACTTCAAATATTTCTTTAGTCCTACCAAAATACAACTATCGTCCAAGATGTTTCTTAAGAAAATAATACAATATGATATGAGTAATGACACTAAAATATTCAATAAAAAAATAATAATAATGAAATCGCGTAAAACAAATATTGCAAATTAACAAGTCATAATGAAAATGATCATAATTTAAAAGTACTAAATCATTCTAAAATAAGTTTAATAAGTATTAGTTACATGACTAAATATTAAAGGAAATTAAAATTAGATTATGTATTTGAATTGTCTAAACCAATGTAAAACCAAAGAACAAATATTCAATATTATTGTCATTCTTAGTGTTGAATTGATTTTCTTTTTGCATTAGTATTAATTTGATTTTGATTTAAGCTTTATTATAATTACCAACATCTGTGGACTATAATCTTTATTGAACCATTCAGAATTTTAAGTTTCAAACTTGAAATAATATATTAAAAGATAAAAACTATGAAAAAGTATAAGAAATATTTAAAAATTATATCAAAGTAAATATTTTTATGTATAAAATAAAATTTTAAAATTATATATATAATATC